CGAATCATTCGGAGCATACACTGTTGCGAATACCCATGTTGAGTCTCCAATCTGTAACCTGATCCAACACCACCGACCCCACATGTCACTGTCGAAGTCAACCAGATGGACATCCACCCGACTGTGTACGAGGATGGCTACCCCCCCTTTGGTTCCTCGTGCAGGAGACCAAAGTTGGGGACCATCCCACTACTCACCTAACTGTGGCAACCTGACCTCAGACAATTTCGTTTCATGGACCATAATTACGTCTATCCTTTCTTGGTGAATCCACGCTTTGAATCTCCTCCCTTTGCGTTTTTCCGTACCTGTCCCCAAACCCCTAACGTTCCTAGTAGCAATTCTATGTCTGCCCATCAACTGGCGAAGATCTTGATGCATATTGGATACCTGCCTGTGCGGGATTTGCAATGCGTATTCCCTCTGCCACATCTGACTCATCCATGTCTGCCCAATCCATACTTACACATCGGAAGAAGGGGCTGGAAGCAAGATTGCAGGTTCTTGGCATACTAGGGTGCACGTTGGCTAGAAAGGTAGCAGAGACTCCAGGGCCCACTACTACTTGTGACAGGATATCGTCTGATGCCTGAATGAGTGCATCCAGGGGGAATGACCCTAAGCCAACCCTTTGCCTGCCTGCCCACTCATCAGGAGAGAACCGTGCATCTATAAAAACGACAGTATAACGGATAATGCGGTCATCCTCTAGAACCACCCTTATCTTTGGCAGGTAGAATTCTGGGAATATCCTAAACTGCAATCTATCCGCAAACAAGTATTTCACCCTCTCAGTGATGATAGCAGGTGTGAGGACTTCTGTCAAACCGATAGACGGTAAGGACAAGATTCCACTATTGTCAAGGAGTCCAATCACATGCACTACTTGATCTTGCAGAGAAACGACAATCGGAAGCAGCATTTGCTCCTCCCGATCTGACCCCACCCGTCCCTGTACATCTGTACCATTCGGGAGCGGATCGCCGGGATTCAACCCCTCCTCATCCACCCGTATCTCCTCCCTATGTGCACTTTCTGCTTCGCTATCGCCATCCGATCCTTCAGCGTCGTCTTCTACTTGATTAGCCTGCTGTTCTTGAAGCGCCAGTGTATGATCTCTTGGAGGTGGTCCTGAAGCGCGACTCTAACCTCCTCTCGATCCTCCTTGGCCTTGGGTTTGTCTCAAAGCATTACCGTTTACATAATTAGCCCCGAAATTCGCAGCCTGGCCAGCCCCATAGAAGCTCTGTTGATATAAATCCATGCCCATAAGATTCATACCAATCGGCTGATAGCCAAAACCTTGCCATTGCGTCGGGCCCCATTGTGGGGCAAACTGCTGCAACTCGTTGCCATACATACTGGGCGCTCTGACTGGAATAAAGGGGGCCTGTGTAGGTCTCGGCGTGTTCGGGACAGGGACGGCCCTTGACGTAAGTACCTACAAGGCGCCGGTCCCCCCCGCGATCCCTGAGCCCTGCCGGATACCGCCACCAGCGCTTCTGGTGGACGCGATTGGAACTACTGCCCGAGGCCGAGATGACTCAGCTCCAGCCGAGGGCACGTTCTTACCTTCAGTCCCTGGCAGCTGCGGAAGTCCTCCTTCTCCACCTCCTCCAGATTGATCACTAGCCGCTGCCCGAATAAAACGATTATCTTCCGGTCGATCCGAGCGATCCGTCCCTCCTTCTCTTCTTCTCGGTCTCTGACCAACTTGCTCCCCTTCTTCCTCCTCTGCTCTAGGACAACCTTCCTCCGTAGTATGAAACCACCACTTACACCTGTCACACCATGGGGTGTGTTTACAAACGAATTTTATACGAAGCACCTCCTTACCCAAACGAATAGGCAGTTCTGGTTCAAAATTCCCTTCCGCGTCTTTCACCAAGTCAAATTTCAAATTCATGAGTTTCGGTCTCGATCGATCCTGTTCCGGAGGTTGACTGTTGATGAGGTGTCCCATCGCTGTTTCAACCATGCTCTCAACATGGAACATGGCTCTCAGGGGAACCCTGATTGCCATGACCCAAAACTTCGTCTCATCCTCCAGACGCCTTTTTTCTTCCAACTCGGTACGAGTGAGCCAAGGTTTAAATAGCATGCAATACTCAACACCTCTAATCATCACCGTGTCCTCGGCATTAGCAATCAGCCATTGAGCAACTTCCTTGGAGGCGTGAACCTTTCCTCATTTGACGCTCCGGTCGAAAATCCGTTGTTCATACCAGCCGTTTTCATAGGCTCTAATCAGGTCTTCTCTCACTCGCATCGGAAGATCGCGAGCCTCCCCTTGAAAAATAATCGTGACAGTCCTCTCCTTCAGCCAATTGGTGGTCAACTCATCCAACCGAGTGTTGACCACGAAGGTACCCGCTTCTACTACCCATTCTCCATGTTGGAATTTTTCTGGCAAAATCCCATCGTCATAACATTTTGAGATGAGCAGCTTCATCCTATCCTCATCCGAAAGAGGGACATCAGTATGACCTGGTGGTGAGCGGCCTCTATTCCGCTGTTGACTCGGCGCCCCACTTGCACTCGCCATAATTACCCACAAGACTACCTTATTCCTCCTCCTATCCCCGGTGCTCACGCATACGTACCAGATGAGTCACTTGCCCTAGCATCAAGCTACACCAGCACAAGAGAATACAAGAAGGAAATTACGGGGAGCTTCTCCGCCAAACGCTTAATATGTGGCTTCAGATCACCAGCATCAACATGTGGTTGCTCCCCCAGCTCTAACTCTTAGGAAAGCAGCTGCACTTGGTCCTACACCTCATATCAACAGCGGGTGCCTCCCGGCGCTCGCCAGCAAATCAGTCGAAAAAACTTCGCCCCTGCCCATTCCAACACACGTTCGCATAGTTGCACGCCTTCACTCCTATACTCCTACAACATAGTGGGAGACAGCCATACACTCGACTTCCCAAGGGGAAAGCTCGGATATCACCGAGCAAGACGAACGACTGCACCTACGACGTAATGATGACGACGCATGGTGATGGATACGTCAGTCCTACCTGACCGTACGGGCTTAGAGCGCATCGCGCCAACCGCCGTACGCCCCCGCCCCGGCCTCGAGTCCACTGGAGGAGCTAAGCCTGCCGAAACGCCCTACCGCACAGGGGAGCGTTAGCGCAAAATTAGCGCCGCCAGGAGACTCCCCTGAAATTCAGACCATAGTCTTTGAGTTCTGCAGGCAATTGCCTGTAAGCTAAGCTGGCTGATGCTGTCAGATACCCCGGGTCGAATTGTGAGGTCCCCGGCCTCAAATCTATTGGCAATGAATTGAGTAC